GCCTCGGGAGCGCCGGGTGCGGCCCTGCCCGCCGCCGGAGGCGCGCAGGCACGGTGGGGCTCCGGGGGCCCGGCGGCTCTCGGTATTCGTTTTTCTAACGGGGTAAATACCACTGCCGCGGTGTTAATCAAACACACCCACCCATCTTGCTCCGAAGCCGGTGAGCAACCGGGAAGCCTCAGTATCCACAACTCTGCTGTGAGTCCCGCTTCAGTTTACCTAAACACGTTCCTGGACAAGCTGCTCCCTGTAACCCTCACAAACGCAGGGCTGAATAAACGGGGCCTGCAGGGATGAATCGCATCACTAATGCTCAAAATCCTGACCGTGTCATTTTGCGGAGAGCATGACGGGCACAAGTAGTTTATAATAGGGAGGGGAAAAAAAACACATTTTGCTTTATGTTCCCAAGTACCCAATTTAGCATCTGTGGAGCTCATTTCTTATTAAAATCCCAGAAACGCAACACTTAATACCATTTAAGTAAATACACGCTTCCGAAGGACCAGTATATAACATCACCAATGTCTTTCTTGGTCCTTCAAAGCATTATTCAAATAAAATAGAATGGTAATTAGCAGGTGCCTTAGAAAGACAGAGACACTGTCAGAGAACAAAAAATCCAGATGGCACCCACTGATGGCAGCCCCACAGCCTGCACTGCCAAGGCCCAGCTCGAAGGCTGCACTCTCAGCCCCAGCACTCGACTGTGGCTGGTTTATTGTCCTTTCTCTCTGATTGCCATCCGTTAAACATATCCACCCATGAGAGTTGCCTACAGGCACACTTTCTCCAACACCCAGCTTGGATCCACGCATCACAACAGGTTGAGATCTGCAGACAGGAGAGGAACACAGGAAAGATGAATAAAAAGTGGCAAAAGCAAACTGGGCAGAGGAGTTGAAACCCCAAATATTGTCCCATAAGCAATATTTCATACAGCATGTGCCCTGCCACCCCTCTAACAAATCTCACTCCAGCTCAGCAATCCTTCCACTTGCGCACCTCCCAGTACAAGGGGGTCGCTTACGCCTCCACCTCTGCAAGTTCACAGAATCAGGTTCACCTTTTTTCATAGTTTCCCATAGGGCATTAGGATTACATGAACACTGTTTCAAAGAGGGCATTTTTCCTAACAGCCATTGCACAGACTTCAAAAGAAGTAGTTCTAACATCCTGGTCAACACCAGGGAGCCCCAAGGGCCAGGTGCCTCCGACAGGCCAGGGAACCCAGAGCCACAGCAAGGCTGGCAGAACAGGGACTGGCCAGCACGGGCCCCGTCTCACGGTACTCAAACAAGGCAGGCAGACTTGGGGATAGAGTCCGGGCTGCCAGAAAACTTCATGGTGATGAGGAAGGTCAGAGGTCAAGCCAGGAAAGCAATCCATCCCATGATGGTAACTGGGGACACAGTGGTTATCCAGCAGGTCTATGGTGACGTGGAAAAGTCAAACAAGGAAGCCAACCCCCAGATCACAGACCAGAGTGGAGCAACAGGAGCCAGTGACAAGCACATCTCTGATGGAGCTCAGGCAGGGACTGACAGTCCAGGGCTGAGCTTAAATGGAACCCCGGGGCCCATGGTCAGGGGTGTGGGTGGAGGCCCCAGATGAGGTCAGTCAAGGGCATTAAGGTCAGTTAGTGCTCCCAGGGCCCTGACAGCCTGTGTTGGGTCCACCTTCATTATTCTCATTATGAAATAATGTTAAAAAGTGTGGGACAGACTGCATCTGTATTTGACTACAATGTCAGAGCTTATTTCTAGTGGATGCTTTCTGTCTGACAACAATTCTTATGAAATTAGGCTATCTGAACTAAACAGCATCTTTGAACAAATGGTGGAACTTGTCACCAAGGTAAATGATTTGAAGAAGTTTTTGTTGCTAACCAGTTAGAACTCAGAGCTTTGAAAGACTGTACAACTTCTACTGCACAGTCAGTCTGCATTGTATCATTTACAGGTTGTGGTGGTACAAACGCCCCCTCTCTCTTGGGTCACTGGTTGCTTAGTGCAATTTCCACACACCATACCCCGCCCCCCCAGGCACATACCAACCCACGATGGATTGGGAAAGGCAGTGGACCAGAGTGCTAAGGCACCCTCATGGCACACCTGGCTCCTGCCTCCCCTCCTGCTTGGGAATGGGAATGAAAATCAATCACCTCCTGACAGCCTAGTGTATCTGTACTTGGGCCGTGGCCCAGAGCAGGTGATACCAGAACTTCAAGATCTAGCAAGCTCTGGGCCTGTGCAACTGGTCAAAAGCATCGGAGTATTTCGTCATCTGAGTTGGGCTGAAATGAAATAAGTACCTGATGAAAGTCAATTATTGCGGAGCCTATAAATAGCAACCCTAAGTGAGACCCTTTTGAGCTTTTGGGAATCGCAGCGGGCTGTGACCAACATCTCCCCTGAGCTGGGATGCCTCTCAGGCACTTCTCGAAATTTGAAGATTGTGTGTCCACAAAGCTGACAGAAGGCCAGGGTGAAGTCAGACTTCTTTTTGAATCTCAATTATTGCCCCTTGAGAAATACTGATGCATTGTGAGTATTTGCTCCAAACTAGTGACAAGGGAAATTTTAAGTATAGACTAGTCTCTTACATCCACCTCTCTACCCATCTATGTGTTTGAATACACACATTTTCCTTCACTAATGTAGGTATCTACGTATTTCACTGGTTCATAATATTTCTGTCTCTGTGTGTGTATATTTTGTGTTTATACATATGTACATATATATACTTTGATTTAGGGTACCTTGTAGTAAATTAGTGTAAATCTTGTCATTTTTGAATCTGGAATTAAGTTGCTGTTTTAATTATAACATATTCTACCAAATCACCTTGTTAATCTTTAAATTAGTCAATCATTAAGTGCTGCTAAAATTCAAGCTTTTGATCCACCTCACACCATTAATAAATCTTGAATTGCTGCTAAATCATAACCGTGGCAAATATTTCATCTGTGACACAGGTCACTGCAGTTAAATCCCTCAGTTCCTTGACCCCAGGAAAATAGTTCTCTATCCAAATCCTTTATTTCTACCATGTATTTCCATGTATCCTTTTGCCTCAGATAATTTGTCATTTTCAATTTCTTTAGTTTCCTCCCTTGATTGTACTTTACACCCACATCTCTCTATTCAGTTTCTCAACACACACTTTCAAATTTTTGCCTTCACACAAACCTCAGATTTTGCGAGGTATAGATTTTTATTAGAATTCTGGCAATTACCAAATCAGAATTTTAGCACTTTATTCTCCAGTTTGCACAACTGGAAATAACTACATGGTGTGTGAGAAGGTAGAGAGTCAAGTTTTGTATTTGTCCACAATTTGATAATTTCCTATGATATCACCCATTTTTCTTTGTGGTTTTAAGATCTTAGAAAAATGTATTTGAGATTAAAAGGATATATTCTTTCACCAACAAAAATAATGTGGACAATTCTGGCTCAAAACATTGTACTTCTTTGGAAAAAAATTGGTAAATTTTTCAGTGCATGGAGTCCAAAGACACTCCTATCCTGCATACTCACAAATTTCAAACTGTCATTTATGTCTCCCATTACCTTGGATGACTACTGTGTGTAGTACATTTCACTGTCTATATTAACCGGTTCATATTATACCAACCTTCCTTTGCATTTTCATTGCAGAGTACTGTTTTCTCTCCCACTAATGCCCAGAAATTTTTAACAGCTTCGTAGTTAATTCTTCTAGTTATTCTGCCCCAGCTAAATTTTTTATGTTTTTTCTTTTTTTAAAACTAGTTTTGTTATTTGGGGCATATTGAGAATATCCCTCAGCAAACTGATACCTATACCAAATATTTTTCATTTGCACCAATTCTTCCTTCCTTTCCTGATGAGATGCAACTTGAGAACACCTATCACTTCTTCAGGGATGGACTGTCATGGGCAGAACTGCCATGGAAATGTGTGAAAATAGGACATTTCATTTAAAAATTCATTATTAATCTGACATTACTTTTTTTTTTTTTTTAACTTCAAAATTCACTACCGTGCAGAATTTATTACTCCATTTAGGATACTGATGACAATCAGTGTTATCAGCACAATAAAATAAATACAGATTTAGTTTTGAGGTTAAACTCAGAGAAATACCCTCTGTATCTCATCTCTGGGCACTGTTTTATGAACCCAAAACCTGTAACTTTGGGCTCGCTCTAGTATTTACTGAAGTATGGAAAAACCTACCATTAGAAGTTATAGTGGCTGAGAAGGCTGATTTGTAAGATGCTGTCTAACATAGGTGGAGCACCAGGCTTTATCAGGATCTTTTACCTGCTGAGATATTGCAGTATTAATATTAGTAGAGCTTCTGAGAGGGAAACAACTTGGAGAGAAAAATACACCTGAGGTTTCATTGAGAATATGGAAAGAATAGGGGAGCTAGTATTTGAACTAGCCCTATGGAGGTTCAAAGTTCAAAGGGAATCTTAAGAATCAGGCTTACAAAGGAGCCTTTACTTTTAAAGGTTGCCTATAAGATGTGCCAGGCCTCTCAGGTAGGTTAGCTACTTTCTCTGCCTACTGCATGTTTAGCTGTACTACCTGACTAATAAGAGGATTGCAGGTGCCTTTCACCAAGCGGGTCATCCTTCATGTGGTGTGTGATGCCATGCAATGCATAGGTAGCTCTATCTGAGTAGATTCAAGATGATTACAGAAGTACAAGAATCTCACTGCTATGGTCAATAAGCCTTAACATTCTAATATGAGACCATTAATATGGCTTAAAATAATGCATAATTCCACTTGTCCTTTCTCCAGATAATGTCACATACAAGGCTTGTTATATCTACAAACAACCACAAGGTGACAGGCAATGCTTCCAAACAATTCTGTGAAGCCTGGCTAGTTAATTGGGCGGTGATGTACACAACAGAGAATTCCCGAATTCAGTGGTCAACTTTAATGCTCACTTATGAATACCTGGAATTTCAGAAACAGAAGCCTGACAGGAGGCTACAGTGGTTGCATCTTAAGATTGTAAGAACTGAAAATATAAAATTTGTTTTCCTAAAAGCTTGGCAAAATATATTTGTTTTTTGCACAATGTGTAGAGTACCCTTAAGAAAACTGCAGATAAGGCAACATGAGTGAGGCCATGGATGCACTATCTGTCACAGACTAAGAAACAGGAGGAGGAGGCAGGAAGTACTCACAGCTTTTCTATACAGGGAATTTATGTTGACAGAAAGTATGAAAACAAGACCAGAAAGTCCATGTATTAAGCAGTATTTGCATAAGGGAGGTTATGCAATGTGTGATCCTCAATGAATGATTATCAGTGACAGAACATCTCCACTAGGATTGCAGTAATCTCCACTGTAAAACCTAGTTCAGGAAATGGATGCTGCATGGTGTTTTATTTTGCTTGGACACAACTTAAAGTTCTAAACATGCAGAAATGTTGTTATTCTTAACAGTGACATATTTACCTTCACAAAGAAAGGTCTTATTCTGTAACCTTTTTTACTTTTTGCATAGAGGGTTACAAAATATTTACGGAAGCATGCTTTCTAAATCTATAATTCAATTGCATTTTAAAGCTAATATTTTATGACAGAGTAAGAAGTGCAAAGCATTTATACCGTGGTTTGGGTATGGCCTCTGAGGAATACGAAATTAAAGTGTAGGGAAGACACTTTATTTTATGTCCTGTACCAGCTTGTACAGATTATTTCAGTTTGATCAGCTGTCTTCTTGAATGAATTAGTTTTTGCAAAGGGATATCTCTGAAGATCAGTTACAGAATTAAAAAGTAACAGTAACTAAACAATTCTCTGTCTCATTATTACGGTTCAGAAGCTGTTAACAGTTGTAAAGGGCTAATTAGTGTAACGTAATCCTCTTAGGAGGCTGCAGGCATTGAGCTAGATTTCTTTATAATTTGTACGTAGGCCTTCTTTATTCCATTAGAATTACAATAATTAAAGACAGCAGTATGTATTTGCATTCTATCCATCCACATTATGTTTACTTTGCATAGTGAATACTGCATGATAAATGCAGAAGTAGGTTTTTCTATTTTCTATTTAAATATCAAAATGTTTAGAAGGACAGCCAAATCTTGGTTTTATAACCGTGCAAAATCTACCAAAAGAGAAAATGAAAACAGCAATAAGTGGCTTTCTGAAATCCCAAGCAATCAGAGAGAGAAAATACTGGAAGAGCTGGATGTGAACAAAGTGCTGTCATATTTGGTTTACAAGAGAGTCTTTTCCTTGGAGGAATACAAAGATATTTGGTCCCAGGAGAGCTACAAGAAGAGAACTGAGTATTTTTTAGAGAAACTCTCTTTAAAAGGCCCAAGTGCTTTCTCTGCTTTTTGTTCCATTTTAGAAGAGGTCTGCCCTAACTTGCTGACATGCTTTCTCCTTGGCTATGAAGGTAAGGTCACTGTCTGCTCTGAAATGCTTAAGTGTATATTGGTAATGTCTTGGAATCCTTTGACACTAATAGTTATTTGCTATAATTAGTGTTTACTTTCCCTCTTGCACTAAACGAGAGTATTTTTTGTCTTTATGGTTCTTTGTTATAAAAGATAAAATAATGGGAAGGAAATTTTATTAAACAAAGGTATGTTATTGTTATACTTTGAACATTTAAACTGTACATTAACATTGCTGCTATTAATGAATAAGTCAGGACAGGAAAAGGATTCCCAGGTGCTACTGGTAATGCTTAGCTCAGAAATGTAACACCGATCTTCTACTTTCCTTCCCATTTCTGAAATATTTAAAAATAGATTGAGAAGTTCTACAGGCATAGTGCCTGAATACTTGATCCCTTTCATATTCTTCTTGTAAGTCACATTATTTACTATACCTATATGTAAACAACTGCATGAAAAAGATTGCATTACTAAATATCAACAGTACATTTAAAGTTAATCAAAATGTTATTTGGACATCAGGGAATATTCACACATATATGAGAAACTGTAGATATTAGATATTACTAGATATTAGCAAAGATAATGTGAAAAAATATGTGCAGAGTGTTTACAATTACCTCCTAGTGACCTATTTTTATTTTTTGTGTCTGTTATATTCCAAATTCTGTGTCTTACAAGTCAGCTAGAGTTTTCTCAGCAATGACTGCAGGGTTGTGCTCAAAGGTTATATAAAGAATGTCCTTTCAGAATTTAATTAAACTAGTCATGTCTTTTACCAATCCATTCAGTAACAGGTTTAAATACATTAGCATTACAACTATTTATAAATAAAAACTACTGAGTACTGTAAGAATGTTAATAAATTAAATGAGAAAAATTAAAATCTAAACCCATTCTGACCTTTAAAATAGCTCTAGTCTGTGTCCCCTCTTGAAAACCTGATTACTTTAAAAATTGACCGTTACAGATCCAATTACTTGAGAAAACAACAGATATTTAACCACAATTTACTTATGAACAGATGCCCATTTAGGGTACCTTTTCAAAATCAATTTACAGCACAGGTTTATGGCAGTTACAAGAAAATCAAAGGAGGTTCACAAATGTTGTTGTGGATTTTAATACATGTAGAATGTACTTCATGGACAGCCACATTATGAAAAGGCTACTTAGGGCCTCTTTACATTATAATTTTTTTTAAAAAAAGCATACACATATAAATACAATGGATTATATAAAGCCAAGTCTTTTGGAATATGCATTTTAGAATGAAGTTTTGGCTTCCTCTGAATTAACTGCAAAGGTAGCGCAGGGAAATTTTTATTCTATACCGCCTAAACATTTCATCCAGGGGCCTGTCACAAAACAGATTTGAATTTTCTGGTGGGTACAAGGTTTTGGGGGGTAGTACTGTTATAAAGGGTGATGGCCTCAGCAGTTGGGTGCAAGTGAAGGACTCTGTCTCCCTGACAACATCATATTAGATACAGAAAAAAAAGGGAGAAAGCCAATGCTGCACATTTCCAAAAGAGTAAAGGATACTGTTGGAACAGTGTCCCCAATCCATTCTGTCTGTCTGTGCCTTGTGTAGGCAGAAAAATGCCTCAGGCTGCCTTAGCTCAGCCACTATTCCACTCTTTCTCCTTTCCCTCCCCCAGTAGCATACATCAAGTGCGCAAAGCTAGTTTTAGAATCTGTTATTGCTAATAATAATCTACTGGGTAGAAGGCAAAGAAAAACACATGCTATATATTCACATTAATTCATGCACATAATCTGTTTAAATTCACGCACGCATATGTTGCATATTCAATTAAATGGATTATGCATTATAGATTTTCATACGTTGTGGATTTTTATAGGTTGATTTTGATAAACCCTGTTACAAGGTACATGGAAAGGTATGATGAAAAAGAGCATTGTTTATTATTTGCATTAAAATAATTTTCTTCACCACTGTATAAAAGCTGACTGATAGGCCAAAGAAATCAAAATGGAAGGAATGGATGATGAGAACTTGCTATGACTGTACTATGTGGCTTAAACACCTCAGTTACCGCAGCAGTTGTGTGCCATCTCGTCCCCTGTACTTGTTAAAGAGACTACAACAGGCTGACTGAGCACACAGAACAGAATCAATCCCTGTTATTGACCAACTGCATGTACAGCAGGGGCCAATTTCTGTTTTCTGGACCTGCCTGTGTTGGCAGATATGGGTATTTTAATGTGTTTCCATTGTCTTCATGCCCTACAGACAGAACCATTTGACAGGTGCTGAAATGTGACATGGTTCCAAGAGGTCACTCAGCCTCTGGACTAATGTAGTTCACTGCAAAACTGTAAACTGTGCTAGTGAAATGTGGCCAGTGAATGATGTACTGTCACTTGCACACAGTTGATTTAATGCCACTTTTAACTCTTTTGTCTCATTATTCCAAAGAATTACACTCACAGTAAGTTAAGGGGTGTTATAGCTATAATATATTTATTCTTCGAGACACTAGTGACTTGATTCTTTTACTCTTCTAAAATTCTCATTATAGTATAAAGCAAAGCTCTATGGGGAGCTTGCTCAAGCAGGATGTTATATGGAGTAAGAATTTCAGGTTTACTTCCAAGATTCCTATAAATTGTCTGATCTGTATCTCTCAAATCTATTGGAAAGAATAATATGGAAACAACTTTATCTACAAAAGGTCAAAATAAATTATGTTTACCTAAAACAACTGCTTACCCAAATGTAACATCAAGACAGAACTGCATCAAACTGTAGGTGTTATTTTGAACAATGTATCAGCTATTAGAGAAATTTCTTTATTGTTATCCAGACCATATGCATAGACGTTTCCCAGCATTATCAGAGCAAACAAAACTGATGGCTGTATCTGAGATGGAGCTGCATGAAACCTGTCAGATGAGTGACCGAGAAGGAAGCCCTTCTGCTGAGGAACAACTGAATCAATCATTCAACAAATACAGGTTAAAATTATCGGTGTCATGATATCTTTAATGATCACAATATTTCCCGTCACTTAGTTTCCATTCAAGTGAAGTGTACCACCAATGCTTTCAAGAAGTTTTTCATTTGCATCTGATTTTACTTTGCATTTGTAAATATGATTCTATTTTGCATAATGAATGTCTTCTGATGCTCATGAATTCTGGGGGTCACCTGTGGTCTTTACTGCAGGTATTCAGTAATGATGTAATGCATTGATGACACTGCTAGTTTTCAGCATTCAAGGACTAAGTACATGTGTAGAGGTACATTTTACTCATAAGCTTTCTTGGAATGTGAGAGACAACCTAAGTTAGTAGCACAGTTTCTATTATTTATTTTAAGAGGAACAGAAACTGAGGAAGACCTATGTAAGAACAGCATGTAATTTGATATATGCTTAAGTCCCTGCTTCAGAGATTTGAACCTAAAAAGGGGACACAGAGTTTTCAGAAGTCCTAAAATGCTGCATTTTATTCAGTTCAGGCATTTGCAGATGTGTGTTTGGAATCATGTTTTGCTTAATTCAATAAGGAATCTAGCTGAGAATGGACTAGAGCTCTCAGTAGCTCATTAGCTGTTAAGAAATACTGTAGGTACATGTCCAGCTAAGACAGAAACTTACATTCTGAGAAAAATACTTGAAAAGTAGTTAAAAGCTGTAGTGCAGTTTTGATGTGTCAGTAGCATATAAACAGTAATTATGAAGCCTTAATAAATTTGCATGTCTAGGTTAGTTTTGTTAAGTTTCAGCTAGGGACTGGATTATACTAGTTTGTAGAGGTGTAGTAAAACTTAATGACTGTGAAGTGATTGAAAAATTTGTGGGCTTAAAAGGTTAAGTTCAACTTGAGTAACAGCGAAACATGAAATGGTAACAGAATATGAAGACACTTGATACAATACATTATGGGCCCAAATTGTACAGTGTGGGCTGATCTTTACCCACAACTAATGAAATCCCAGTCAGAACTCCTTTTTTAATATACGGTCACAAGAGTTCCAGACTTGCAATCATTCATAATCTGAATATGTTCCATTTGTCTTTAAATACATTAATTCTGTAGCACTGGTCCTGTAACATCACAAGACAATTCACTTACAAAACCAAACCAATTAAGAAGTGCCTGCAGCTAGAGAACCACATTAGGGAAGTAGCAGAGAAATATGAAAGCTTTCCTGAAGCCAGTCTATGCTGAAAATACTCGATAGCTCTAAAAAAATCCACCAGATATCATAAAACATGACAGTATCAGTATTTGCAGAGTCAGTCTCACTATAAGATTGTTATATACAATCCACCTGATAAGAAAGCTTATGGTGTATTAGTCCTGCATATACCCTGGAAGAAGAAAAAAGCTGGGGCTATACTCTCCCCACAGGGTATCAGTGCTAAGTGTGGAAGTTGATGTAGCCCCAGAAGTCACAGCAAGAAGGGAATAGTCACCTCACTGGAAACAGAGAGCTCATCAGGAAGACAAACTGTAATAGCACACAATTTACTTCAACACCAGTGTCCTGGCTAAAAAAAAAGTAGCTTGACATTCAGTTAAAAAAGTGCCAATCTTTCCACACCTTCTGTTGTATACTGACACTCATCTCCTCCATCCGAGGGAAAAAAATAATAGGTAACTGGCTTATGCAATTTTTTTTTCTTAAGTGCCACACTTGTGTCAAACACCAGAAAGAAAATCTTAGACAATCATCATGCTATTTGTGGAGAAGAGAGTCTCAAATGCTTGTAACAATTTGTGAAAATGACAACTGAATATTCTTGTTGAAGAAAACAATATAGCTGGTAGCAAAGCAAATGTGCCACCTGCATGTAAATCCACATATTACAAACCACAGTTGCAGGGACCCTCTCAACAAGGCAACCAACCAGAGACAGAAAGTACCATCCATAAATACAACTGTGTACAACTACAGGGTGCATAAAGACCACTAGGTATATATAGTGGTAGTTAGAAAAGAAGATATGAGCATAAATAGAAAATAGGAAATGGCTTCACTGCCCTTTTCCCAATATTTGTAAATATTCTAAATCACCTGTAGAGCGTTTTTCCCAATGACAAAGATGTCAGACACATAGACACTCTAAGGACAAGAACTTCCTGTCTCTGAAAATTCCAGTCAGTGTTAGTGGGAGCATCATGGTGAGCTAGAGTACTTTGATAATATAGATAATAATAGTTGTTACACAATTACATAGCAATTGTAAAGCCATGTTTTTATATTTATGTTTATACAAGTTATCAGAGTCATATCTCTGCGGAATAGATGGTACATATGGTTACTTTACATGTCTAGGAAGAGCAAAATCATCTCAGTTCTAAACACTAAGATAATCCTGTTAGTTAAGAGTCAACTAACTACAGCCATGACATAGTTCAGCCAATAAAGCACCTTGGGCAAACAGAAAACAAAATTAAATATGCAAAAGGTGTGTGGATTCACACTCAGTTTTTCATTTAAAGGCGAGAGCCCTAGTAAGGATACCCTGCTCTACTTTCACAGTTTCCCCTCTTGAGACATCTCCAGCATTTCTGAAGAATACAATAAAAATGTGATCTTTAACACTAGTGAAACTGAGTAAGTTCGGGGGTTGCTTATAGTGATTTGGTCTAGGACTTCAGCGTATCCACAAACACTCTCACCGAGATGCCAGACAGAAGTACCGTATCCCATGTCTTCTGCAAATCAGCGTTAAGGATATGCTCTTGGTCTGGTTTTGGATCAGAAAACATTGTTCCTGGTTCTGTCTACTGTTTTCTATACCTTCTTTCTCAGAATATCTTCACTAAAAAGGACCATCTCTATTAGACAAGTGGATAGTATTATAGGTTGGATCAGTAATTGGCGGAATATGACCTCAAATTAATTAGTACTGCTTTCAACACTTCTCTTATTTTTTTTTCCTTTGCTACTTTCCTATACCTCTCAAGCATCACTGGACATTTGATACTGGCCCTGTGAAAATCATGCAGATGACATAAAAAAAAATAGTTAATTATTTTCCTCAGGCTTTCTGTCTTTTCCTTAAACAACAGTTTTTATTCTCTCATTGATTGAGAACCAAAATGCTGAAGCAGACTAGCATTAATAGTACATATATGTGTTACATTGCCGTGTATTAAGAAAAGATTGTGACAAAATGTCTGTCAAATAAATTATCAGAATAAGTAATATCCAAACTGTGAAAATCAGATACTATTTTTGCAGTTGTTATAACGTGAGCCATTTATTTTCACATTTCAAGTAAGAGATTTTTGCACACAGCTTTTCCATTTTCATGTAAATGGACTATGTTTGTGTGTATATCTGTATTTGAAGTCTGCTTTATCGTTTTCCCACTTACATTTAAAATTTTGGAATGGCTCAGTTCTACTGTTAAATATACCTTTCTGAATCTATTGGAATTGTAATTTGCAGCTCTTAAATTGGTTTTCAACGTTTGAAGTTCAACATGTTGCACTGGCAAAAAAAGATTAAGCGTGACAAAGCTTCACTGCTAATTATAACTCCTGTGGGAAAGAAGACAGTCACTGCTTTGCTTTAGATAATAAAAAATAATTTGTACAAATCATGTAAACAGCATTTATTCAGGAAGAAGTGCAGAGCTAAGCCACAGCGCCAGATTTTTACAATTTATTTGGACAGCCATATACTGACATCTGACACCCCTAAACATCATTATTAATTTAGGAATTAGAATGTTTATGGCATTTTGGCATGTGTTTTGCGTTACTTCAGAAATTTGGTAAGAGCTCTGGGAGCACAATCCAAAAAATTAACTCATGCCTTAATCTCAGCACTGTTGAGGACAAAGACCCAATTACCTCACAGGGCACTACAGTCTAGCAGTCTCAAAAGAATTACTTGTATTTTTCTTTAAGATGGCAATCTGATGCTTATATATGTAAGTTTCTATTTAACTTCTTACTATTCCATCATATAAATATCAGATTATGTCTAGTGTATGTTAGGCTGAAAAGCTTGTGGTTTGGCTAATTGCAACATTTTTTTTTTCTAACAGTTCAAAAAACTGAGTTACAAAAAGCAAATTCACACTAAGACAGGATGATTGAAAAGGTATTACAGTATCAAGCTTGTTGAATCAATGTAGTAAATTGTCCTTTTCTCATTTTCCATACCATTTGTAAAGTAATTGTTCAGAACTCCCTTAAACTTTTTACTTTAGAGATAGAATGTACTTTTCTTTGCAATGAATACTCAGTGCAGTATTAATTGAAAAAAAATATTAAAAAGCAATGTTGGATTTAAAAGTGCAAAGGTATTTTTTCAGGTATCATCTGTCCTCCTCAATCAAAATCATAGGATTCTAAAATCTGTGTCTGAGAAGCAGCTGGGTACAGAAGCCAGGGCAATAAGTAGCTTTGTTATATTTAGATTTGAAAGGTTATCCAGTAAGTTACATATCTATTAAAAGTAGAAGGATGCTTTCTCCACCATAATAACAATAAAATCAAGCAGCAACTATGGAACATTTCATTGCTAATACTGAAAACTTAAGGTACCAGTCTCTGATAAAGTCCTCTTCAATTTGGCCACTAGATGGTACTATATCACAGTTGTTAAGAAAAAAAAAAAAAATCCTTGGCTTGGTTTGATTCTCTAATATCATTTAACGAGTCTATTATGTTCCTTACCAACCAACACAAATGTAACTATGATGTTTCAATGCAAAGTGACAAATACTGCCTTTCCTCCATTGCACATTGTAAATACAATGCTCCTTTGGAGTCTGTGCTCCCTAGACAGGAACAAATGGCATCCAAAGACAACCCAGTGAAGAGTACAAGCCCAAATTCAGAGATACCATCATGTTCACAGTTCAGGAATTTGGAGATTATTCTTTTCTGGCTTGGAAACATTCATACTCACTTTCCATATACAAACAAAAAACCCTAAGTGCACTGTAGTGGTAAATAAAGCCCATGAAGCCCAAACCAAATAAAATACAATGGCTGTTTAAACATTTAGGTTTTATCTGTTTTACTAACTGCTGTTGGTGTACTCACCCACTTCCAACAGATTATATATGATCCCCTTTTTCTGCATGCATATATCAAACTAAATCATATGTCCACAGACTTTCTACTCCTCTTTTACATAGTTTCCTCACTAAACTGCTGTTCTGGGTCCTATCTTACTGAGTCATGAGTCTGTGTACTGTTAAACTTTTTTTGCTCTAAAATACCTTTTCTATGTTCTGATGCATTCTTTTAGCAAAGACTACTTGCATCTTACCTCCTACTAGAAGTTAGACTTCTGAAGTTTATTCTTTCTTACATGTGAGACTGCATGTATCTGATCACATGAAGTGGGATATGTAACATGAGGGGCAAATCACATGACAGGCAAAGGCCATAGGGCTGGACAGCATATAGAAAAAGTTCCTTTCAAGAGGACTTCAGCGAATGCAAAATCTTGGCAGAAAACACACAGCTCTCCACTGCTGAGAAATGCCAAATAATCCCCTCATTTCCTGACCAGAGTGTCAGGCACAGAGGAACCAGAAGTCACAGATCAGGTTGATTAGCTCTAACTGATATGCACGTTCCCATTGCCAGAGCACAGGACTGCAAATGATTCTTATGCACGATGTCTGAGATAAGGGCCCACACAGCTCTGTAACACCCTGTAGACCCATCCTCAATACCGCATTCCCCAGCACCATAACTGTGTCCCCTCCCAAACCTTCAACCATGTGAGCATGGTAACAATACAGAGAGAAGTCATCAGTGGAATTCTGCGGGGGATGGATTCTTCTAACAGGCTCAAAAATTGATCGGAAAAAGGTCTTAGCAGTGAGATGGAAAAAATTGCGGAAGATTAAACATTTAGACAATGTAGGATGTGTGAGGGCTGAATGCACAGAACTGTAGATGGGTCTTAAGATTAAGTGATGGGGTAACAAAATGGTGGAGGAAATTTAGTGTAGATAAATGTGAAATGATGTATGTGGGCAAAAGTGTTCTTGGCTTTATGAATAAAGTGATGAGCTCTGAGCTGCCTGTTACCACTCAAAAGTGAAAGTTTGGGATTGTGACAGATAGACAGTTTCATAAAAACATCAACTCAGTGCATGGCAGCAGTCCAAAAATGCAAATGTTTGGAATTGATAGGAAAGGAAAAAAGAACAAAACAGGAAGTATAATTATGCCACTCTGTAACGCCAGTTTGTTCACACCTGGAATGCTGTGTGCTATTCTGGTGCCTGCATCTTGAAAATGTTACATTAGATCTCAAAAAAGTTCAGAGAAAGGCAACAATGATCAAATGCATGGGACAGAATGGTTTCCGTGGGGAAAATAATTTAGCCACTAGAACTCCTTATTCTGGAAAAGAAACAGCTTATGGAAGGAGATGAAAAAGGAAAAAAAAGAGAGGGTAAGAATTAAAGGATCAGATAGCAAGAATGGGAAATTAGGCTGAAGTAGGGTACACTGAACATGACAGTATTCACTGCTTCTAAAGGTGTCCAAGGTGATGTTGTGCCCTGCCTAGTTGTGCTTTGTTCAGTGACATAACAAGATAAGGAAACAGAAAATGGCTTCACAAGAGAGTTGGATCCCCCTTGACAAGCTTTCCTCTATTCTTGGTGTGGTGAAAAGCCAGGCCAGGCTGGCAATGGCAGTAGGACATTGGCAAGGAGCTCCTCCAAATTACAAGGTTCTTAGATGCACCACAGTTCATTCATTTTTTGTTAGCAAGTAATTTGTAAGATGAATGAAATCAACCAACCACTGAGCAGGAAGTTCAGTGGCTCCATCCAAAGACGGAAATGAGGGTCACTGCACTTTCAGAAGACATATCAGTGTTCTGAACACACGCCATGCGGTGTTTTTAAAAAGCAGGATTGATTGTACCCCACATTCTGTATAGAAAAATTCTGTATGTGCAAATTCATTCCCTTTATTCTGAAAGTAGGCTCACAGGATTAAATGATAATACTCTTCTTCCTTCCTCCTCCAAAATCCTCTGTTTTGTCTGGGGAAAAAAAGTTGGGAGGATAGGAGTTTCTGTAAAATAGTAACTAGAAAGGAAAAAGTGAAGCCTGGTGCTCTCATTTATTCTACCTCACATTTTCCTACTTCCAAGGAAGTAGTTAGTCCTCAAAAGAGCTTCTACGGATGTGCTTGGTACGGAAATATGAATGGTCATGTTCTTCTTCACATCTGAATAATTTGGAGTGGCACTGGAAGTAGAAAACAAATTCTTCTCTCCTGATGAAATTTATGTAGGAAGAATCTATAAGAGAAAATTCTCATGGATTATGCACCTCCTAATAGAGAGTTTTCTGCAAGAGAGGATGTACTGAGCCAAGGCAATCAGGGATCAAGAAGAGCAGGAACAGCCATTTCTTGCCAGCAATTACTGAGACAAAATCTTGACTGGCTTCCTCCAAACATCTGCTACTTGGCATGCTCAGGTCATTGCCAGTATTACTGCTGTGAGGGTGCCATCCCTAATTTTCATGTATTTTTAGTGTAAACACATTTTGTGAATAGGAAGCTAATATAGCAGGTAATATGCGTATGGAAAAGGTTTTATTCACATTATGTCTTATCTCAAAGGACTACTGAGGTTCAAATGAACCAAAGGACTGCACTGTTGTGCTTCTTTATCACCTGATATTTTCATGGCATGCATCAACAGTAAAAACGTTGACATACCTAACAATTGTTACCACTTAGCTTGTGGCTTTTGGCATCACAGCAGTCATGTCAAGGTCAATTCATCCAGTAGCACTGGCTTATTTGACAGGAAGCTGTTCATCTCAGTTTGGAACCTGGAACAGATAAGCCATGGCTATAGTCAGCAGTAGAAAGAAGTGTAAAAGAGAAATGGAGGATGAGAAAAGCAAATAAAGATGTCAGAACAAGCGTCTTTTCCAAGTAACTTTGGAGATTTCAATTTTAGAAATACCATAAAAAGTACTTTCCAGTCTGTTATTGGAATTTCTTGCAACTATTGGCACATTAGCAGTTATCAGATACTGCAGTTAATTGTACTGTAAGTATAGTATGTCATAATGAAGATAAGACTCTTTCTTTAGTAGCCAGCTCAGTTCAGGGTAATAACTTGCATTTTCAACTATATAAACTATCACTTCTGCAAACTGCTGCCTTTGCTACACAAAATGTAAAATATGACAAGTTCTAAGATATTATAGATGACTAAAAGGCACGTCTGACTAAAGTCAGCTGCTTATGTAAGCTAACTACATTTATACAGAATTTATTTATTTTTTTCCATAGAAGATACCAACTGTGGTAACCATTACCATAGCAATGCATTATGCATGCTTCCTGACACAACAGCCCATGTCTCAAAATATCCAGAACCCAGTTATCTATTCTCCCTCGATTCTGGTTACAACAGAACCAGAAAATGGACGAAGGTAGATTTAGCCTTGAAAACATTTTTTCTGATCTTTGAATTTCCCTGATTTCTGGCTTCTACAGTTAATTAGTGCAGCCTCAGACTACTGTAACTTATTTTTGGCTATTCTTGGCTAGGAATGCCCAAAAGGTTGTTCTTTGCGTCAGAAAGAGTCAGAGTATAGCAGCAATCCAGCTAAATACCATACTACGGGAGGTGTGATGGGTCTACTCTATTCATATTAAGCCATCTCTTCACTATCAAGATAGCCTTTTTGCATTACGTACGCTTCCCAGGTACATTTTGCACTGTTATGGTAGCCCAGATACAGACAAAGGGATCAGGCCTTATAGCTGCCTGGCCAGCCAGCCAACCACCCACCCAATATTCTCTTCTTACGATGATTCTTCCCTTCTAGAATGGTTTCCTCTTATAAAAGTGAGGGGGCTTTGGTAAAGATTAACAAAATGAAAGTGTCAGTTTTGAGAAGGGGTATGTGTGAGAGGAGGTAGAGTTAGTATAATAGTATGCATACCCACTGTTACTGTAATGATCAGTCACTTGAAATACGCATATATTCTTGCCATAACTTAATTTATATTTAAACCAGTCCTTAAGTAATAGATCATAACAAAATGACTGCATCTTAGTAAAAACTTCTCACAGAAGCATTCTGTCTTAACCTGGCAGGAGGAAGATTACCTCTCTGTAATTTTACATACTCTTTGCTACAGCTCCACCACAACAGCACTGAATCATAAAATTGACATAAAAATATTTCTTTTAAGAGTGCTGTTGGCATATGCTCTGCTTTCACACTCAGGAAAAAAAATGTATTAAATTATATGTAATAACATAATTTAGACCTTTCTGTCATTGCAGTACTTCCATAAAGACATACTCAGATTGCATACACTTCTAGGTTGGAATACATGTTTATCAGTCTCACCTGAGAACTCCAGGTGCTGAAGTCATACAAATAACATTAGTAACAATATTACCAAGAAACAGATACTCAGTTTATGGGGAAAAAAAAAAAAAAAAAAAAGAAAAAGATATAATTGCTGTTGCTTTTGGTATTATTCAAGATATATGTGAAATGTACAGTGTTTTGGAAACTTTTGTATTGGATATTGCATGAATAGTCATGTGAATCTCAGCATAAACTCTTTAGAATTCTTGCAGTGAAAATATATGTGTTTACTGTGCAAGCTAATGATTTCTTAAGAGGCACAGCGCTATATACACAATCATTTAAAGCAGCATTTCAATCAGTCGAATTACTTTTTTTTTCCCCACAACTTTTAAAACCAAGCTATAAGTAAAAAATTGTACTACCCACAAATCTGGGAATAAAGCAAAGCATTACACTCAGAATAACTTTTATACAAATATGTGGACCTTGATGCCCATTCTTCACTACACTTTTAAATCTAAGTGCAATGTTGAACACACAACACCAATTTACAGTACAGGCACAGCAATCTTCAGGATGTTTTTACAAAGACAGAAGAAAACTGACAAATGCAGACACAGGATTATGAATTCATTTTAGAAGGGATCAAATAATTTGTAACCACTGTCCAATCTCAAGATTCATTTAATGACTTTTGGGAAAGTTATACATTAGTGTACATTGGCAATGCAACACTTGTAGAGAAATGGCCCAAATAAATTTTCATGAATAGATCAAAGAGATTATTATCTTCTACTTACACATTTTTCTTTGTGGTGCATATGTCACAGCCAATTAAATGATCTTGAATGCTCAGATTTAAGACAGTTTCTCTTCACGATAAAGTCTACCCCACAGCTTAAGTTTTATTGGTAAATATGGATGAAGATATTCACCTCATGTTTAATCTCATTTATTGACATAAGTAAGGATTTGGGAAAAAGTCCTTGGGTAATAACATTCAAGTTTTGGTGTTTTATTAAAGAGTTTAGCATCATAAGTACTGCTTATATTTTAAAAGTCTTACTTTACTGGAGTATTAACCATGATGGTTTTATTTATTGGTTTGTCTGTTGATTTACGGACACAGTTATAACTGAGATGGAAATGCCTGCAAGTTAATTTGGCCTTTTATCTTTATTTCTAAATTTATAGTTACCATGGGAAGAAAAAAAGAGCACTTGCCAGTAACATAGAAAGCTGAGTAAGAACTGATGATTGGTGGTCTGTAGCAGCCAAAAGAGAAAACAACATATTACGGTGAAGAAAGAATCTATTGGAAAATTCTCCTCTGTAATACTGTTTACTGTTCTTTTTACTATATCACAGAAAAAAAGTAATAAAAAATCAGTAAGAATAAAATGTAAATTATGAGGCAATATATATTATTGCTCTAATAAACAAACATATCTTTCTATCTGAGTTCGAAAAAAGGGACCATTTGATTCAGACTAGAGAGTAGGAAAAAGCAAAGATATATAGAGGATATGAACTGAATTTTTAGAGAAGTTATATCAAGAATCCCTTTTTACTTTTTGTTCTGAGACCAGAAAAATGGAGTCTGAAAAGACAGAGAAGAACGTAGAAATTAAGTATAATTTTATATTATTTTATTGATTTTAATTTTAATTAATTATCAAAATCATAAGCAATCTGTAGAATTCATAGTTACCAGATGTGATCAAAATCATTAATTTAATGGGACTCAGAAGTGGATTTTATTTTTGCACTGATAACATACACTTCTATAATCTCCCTAACAGTAACTTTAATTTCCCTGCCATATTGTAAACCCCAACAGAAGAGTGTTTAGAAGAAACGTCTAGAAGGAGTCTATTCTTACTAAAATTCAAAGATAAAGCAGCTGTGGTAACACAGGTGTTGCATCCTATAGAGTCTATAGGGCTGGTGCAGGAAAATAAAATCTATGCTACTATATGCTACTGCATTGCTTTATGAGAAGAATTAAACAAACAAACAAAAAGTAGATTAAAAAATTATGGCATATGAATGACCATCACCTACGCCAGATTTGCCAAAATAACCCTGCAGCATTACCTGAAGAATTTCAGAATGCAGTGAATCCTCACTACTGGTTCTGCTTTCTGTCAAGATTTATGTTCCACTGTACCAACTGGTCTCATGACTTTAGTAAGACATAATCAATCAGCTATTCCAGGAGCAGTTTGGTCTTTTATGTGCACTGGTTCCTATCTCTTCTTCTCAAGGCTACTTTCTCAACTCTAAATTAAAGGAGTAAAATAAAAATACTGATTGGAAGTTTCAGTATGTTTCTTAAATTTATAATGTATCTAGAAACCACTGATATGATTTTGCATAGAAAATAAAAATACTTTGACTTTTACCCACATTATATTTAAAAATAATTAAGTTTTAAATTAGCTATTTAATATTAAAAATTAAACACTTTTTGTCCTAGCATTACTGAATAATATTTTTTTTTATTATTTAAATACCACAGAATATCTTAAATATGTTTTCTGATAGATCTGGGGCAGCAAATCCCTTCTGGACATTTATCTCTGAAATTACATTGAGAGGAATAAACAGCTGTCGGGAATATAAATGCTAACTCATCAGAATGCTGACTCAGTGCTGTAGAAATCAAGTATGTTCATATACTGCAGAGGTAACATGTCATACACCAACTAGTCATATTTTATATTGGACAACCATAAAACCAGTTAAACTAAAACTAGGAGTAGAAATCAGATTATAAATAGGGAAAATTTTAAGATCCTTGTAAAGACCTGCCACATGACTGAAAAAATAGTAATCATCAAAGTCAGGATTTGTTAATCTGTCACCTTCAGCGGTAACAAACCTACTCTTTAACAAGGATTATCTCTTGAATCATTATGTACTTAAAGGCCTACTTCTGCTTTCCTTGCATTTAATAGCATTTAATTAATTCTCTAGAAGCAGGATTTAGCAGTGAATGAACTGGACGATCATTCTGCAATGCCATATTTATGCTAAGTGTCCCACTAGAGACACTGAATGCTAGTGACTTTTCATAGTAAGATTTCTTAAGGGTGAAAATCTGTTGCAGGAGAAAATGACTTCATTTTACTAAAATATCTGATGTTCTGCCAAGAGATGTTGAGATTTTTTTTTCAAGTAAGTTTTGTTCTGGTAATAAATTCTCTTAGGAAAATAACTGCTATCTAGGCATTATTTCAGGACTTTTTATCGAGACTAAATTTCTCTTTCATACCTTGGGTCAACTACTTTGACTTCAGTTGAAGCTCTATGCACTCTGTGGTGACGACTTTGTCTCAGTGTAGAGTTTTGTCCAAGCAGGTAATGATCTGGACTAATAGCTTGCTATATGTTTTCTGGTGGAACAAATTACCTTACATTTAATGCATTTCTTGCTTTATATTCCAAAATTGTACACACATGTGAATGTATGAATATATATTCCTAAAACCATTTCTACAGCTGCTGATTTTCCCTTTCATATTTCTTTACTCATCTGCATCTAACCCTTGTGCCAGACACATCCCTTACAGAATTCTAGCTACATCTTATACAAGGATAACTGCCTAGTCCTCTGGATATATGCTCTGCCATAGGTCCTGCAGCAATGCTGCAAAGGAAGAATTTGCTTTTCAAAAGTATGACCCTGGGCATTACTCAGCAATGATGGCTGTCAAAGGGAAAGAGCAAAAGACAGCAAGAAAATTTCTTTTGAAATATGACATTAAAGTTAAAGATTCTTTCCACTGAGAAAAAAACTTCACCTCTCTGCCAAAATAGAATCTAAATGCAGAAAATCTTAGGCACTTCATACAATGAAATCTTTCTAAAGATAAATGATGAAAGAATACAGGTTTCTTTCTTAAAGCAATCAAAATATTCATAAAGACATATGAAAGCACAGAAACATAGACTTCCATTTTTAATTTTGTAACCTCAAGCTTAATTCCTTTATTCATTTCAACTCTTCAAGCAATCAGGATTTCTCAAGCCAGAATCTTTCCAGGCAGCAGAATTTCTCCGCTGGGCTCCCTGATCCTGTGGCATCTTTGTCATGCCTAAGTTATCATGTAGTTTCACGAGGAAGCCCCAGGTTCTGCAAAATCCAATCTAGAGGCATTGTTTTATTGCCCTAGGTAAAGCAGTCTTGTTTCATAAACTGAATGAAATTTGCCCTGTACTGGCATGTTAGGCCTTCTGGTTCTAAATCATCCAGCTGTTACTAATTTGTTATGTAGCTAGTATCTCTTTGTGCTGTTTGATCTATGAACAGCCAACTTCTTAACATATTTTTATACATCAACATGCTTAATAACCTATAACATTATAAAATACTCCTGGAGATATTATAGAACAAGACTGCATCTTGGACCTAGCTAAGGCTTACCATAGCTTATTGCTTTTGGTTTGAGAAATTACTTAGTCGAGCATATTTCTGTATTTAGTCCTTGGACATAATTTGTTAAAAATCTGTGAAGCAACTTTGGGCAACTTGAAAATAACTACCATAATTTAAATTTTGACTTGTGTTCAATATCTTTTGTATCTTCATTTTAAGAAAAGAGAAAAAAAGCTGTACCTCCCTCCATATTATTTTTGTTTTCTTCTTTCTTGCAATAATCTTACATGAAAAGAATAAAATGAACTTTTTCTTGTTATACTCCTAGTTACAGTATCCGTGATCTTGCCTCCTTAACTTCCTGGTTTATGTAAGATTTGGTCGTTTGGAAAGATGGTTATCTCACATCTGGCACTAAGATCAGCACAGACAGAAAGAATCTGAAGCAATTTAACCTCTTGCTCTAATTCCAACTTCTGTTGAACAGCTTTTCTTCAGCTGTTCTGCCTGTAAATTAGCGTAGGATTTCTTATGTCATGGTAGTTCTAATCCTTCTAGTTAGGGACATGTTATCCAGTGGCAGCCCCAGGACAAGATTTTTAGCTTAGCTGCATACACTCTTTCTGCAGAATAAAATTATGGGTTTATATGTTTATTTTGTATTAGCAACTTCATTTTCATTGCTGTTGTAACTATAGAT